ACAAAAATCTCTCTCATCTCACCCTCAGAGGTGAGCATCTGACTCTGTCCTTCTTTCTTGTTTTCGGTCTTCAATCTCTGCACTCTGTTGACATTGTCATATTTACATGAAGAGTTCATATTAAATTAATAAAACAATATGAAATGAAAAATGATCCAATTTACATTCCAACCCCATTCTTGAATGCTCATTATTCTATTCAAAATTGAGGGAAAATAAATAGAAATCATATCTACTCATCAAAGAAGTATGTCCTATCAATGCAAATCTGTCATGCAACAACAGATCTGTTACGCTCCTGTGATCCCCATAGTAATGTGACTATCCCGTCTTCTAGGTGACATCCTTCTAAATGTAAATGGGCTTGACCTGACGGGTGTGACTCGGAGCGAGGCCGTGGCTAACCTGAAGAACACCTCGTCCCCGGTGGTCCTGCGGGTACTAGAAATGAGACCCCCAAATGAGAGCTCCCTGGACTGCATGCCACCCCTGCATTCCCCCTGCACTCTCTCGCCCTCTTCACCCGGAGATATCAAACTACCCCCGCCTAATGATGATTACTCCCCCCTCTGGGTGTCCTGGCTCCAGCTGCCCAGGTACATTGAGCAGAACACACACAAAAAATAGACATACATTATTTGAATTAATGTTGTCTCTTTATACATACATATACATATATACACATATATATGCTGCTGTTTTTCTATTGTGTAGGTTTGATCTTTCCCACTTTCCACCCATTTTCTTCCCTTCTCACACCAAATCTGTGGGAATTCACTGTGATGGAGTGTGAAAGTTCTTAACTTCCCCAATTATTTCATATGCATAATAATTGAGAAAGTTGTGTGTAGGGGAGAAAGAGAGCGCGACAGGGGAGAACAGAGCAGGATTGAGGAAAGAACGGGTTTAGATGCCTAAGCGTGTGACGGCTTTAAATAGACCTTTCTCTTCCATTCCCTGATCTTTTCCTGCTTAGTTCTGTTCTTTCTTTCCTTCACACATTTGTCTGCTCTCCATTTCTACATCATCTCATTTCACAGAAGTCCACTTTAAATCTGAGCTCTGAGCTTTCATGCTGTTAGCTGTCAGACATGGTGGATATCGATATTTTAAATATCTATAACAGTAGCATTTTTTTTCAGAGCTTGTAAGTCTTTAAACACAAATCGAGCCTTTCAGTGCTGCTCGCCATTAGAAACTCACTTATTTCCCCAAGATATCCATAAGCTCCCTTTGAACCTTTTATTTATTGTGAATTTCTTTCTTGCCTCTAGCTCCTGAAATGCACCCCATTTAACTGGGTAGTTGATCAAAAATGATCATTTTGTAAGGCTCAATTTGTTAGCGCATTAGTCATCAGGTAATAATTAACAACAATTGATTAATCTAGG